AGTTTTCAAAAATACTCGTTGTTTTATATGTTCAGCTGTTTCAATACTCAAATTATTGGGCACTAAAAGATTGATTGTAGAAGTAATTCGTTCAGATGCTTTGGATGCAGCTGAAGAAATCAAGTATTTAACAGCTATTTCTGATAGCACGGAATTAAATAAAATCATAAGACGCCTAAACGATTAAAATAACTTGAGGCTTATACCAACATCGAAGCACTTATTTCGTCGTTTTCTCTAATAGCTCACATGTGCAGACACTTAATACACATAATCGCATCACTTTGATAAAAATCCACTTCAAACGATTATTTAAACGATAAAATAGTAGCAACCATCCGTCAATGGTCAAGCTCCTGCCACAACTCACAGTAAGTAAAGTAGTACTAAGTTTCATAGATTATAGTGATTTTAATATCACAGAGATATACTTTACAAAATTACATTTCTTTTTAAGATAATAAGCAAATAAATAAACTGGGGAAAAATGAAAAACATAATATAGTGTAAATAAAGTATAGTAGATTGGGTCCATCAAGAATTAGGATTTAAGTTTACGATGGTGTTGTAGATTAAATGATTTACGTGAAAAAATAAAAAATTAAATTATTTAAAAAAATATATCGACTGTCGTATATCTATATTTCAATATCAAACTTATATTTCAATATATGGCGTCAAAAATATTAAAAATAAATATCGATATTTCTAAATAATAAAATAGGTTTTTCGATATATCGATATTTTAGCAACAGTCCTAGTTCAAACGTGGGGCGTGGCTGTGGGCGTTTGGTTTGCGTGACTCCTATAAAATATCATATATATAGATAAATTAAATGATATTTAATAATTCCTAAATCTTATTTAATAGCATTTTCTGTCTATTAATATATATCTATACAAACAAATAAAATTAAAGTGTCTATTTGTAATGTCAAAATAACAGTTTTTTACTAAATACATATGAAAATACATACGGTACTTATAACAAAAACACAATTTTTAAAATCTTTGTCTATCTTTCTTTGTGTCTGTTTGTCTGTCTGTTTGTTTGTTCCAGCTAATCTCCGAATCGGCTGAACCGATTTTGACGAGACTTTCAGTGCAGATAACGGATATTATATGGAGGAACTTAGGCTAATTTTAATTTAGAAAAAGAATTAGGGTTCCGTGCAAAAAATTAAAACCCATGAAATCCAATCGTAATAAATTATACGGCGAAGTCGCGGGGAACAGCTAGTTAATAGATATGAAATGATATTTTTAATTTATAGGAGTCACGTCAACTAAACGCGCACGGCTGCGGCTTCATCGATCGAGAAATGAAATCCGTTCCGTATATAGGTATATATGTATATAAATAACGTTTCCGATATATTAACACTTCAAAAGATATTTTTATTCATGATAAGGTTAGTATTAAAACACTTTTAAGAAATGGGTCAGATATTATGATAATTTTACTCATTATGGTAAATTTTATTTATATAATAAATGTGTTATTTATTTTTATCTGTTTATTAAATTACCGATCTGTAGAGCGGGCGACACCCCACTGATACTAACTTGCACTCCGTTTACGGTGAACCCAAAAAACCCCGTGGGCATGGGCACATTCTGAAGGTCTTATGATGACCAGATAATGCTTATCGGTTTTCAGTAACGGAAATAGTTAGGATGGCCTAGCTTTTTATGTTTATCTAATTGAGCTCTCGACGTGTTACATACTAAAGTTGAAGCACACAAACGTCATGAATTAAAATAAGTTATACAAAATAAAATCCGTAAAGTTTGTTTTATTAAATGTGTAGTATTCGTGTAATAAATCAGTCAAAAATCATTCAATTCTAAATACTGCGTACAGGTAATTTGGTCATTTATAGGAATTGGTGCTAATGGTGCTTGTAGGTTTTCTTGAAGTACACATATATTTTCGTCTTCTGGTTGTAGTTGGTTATGCTTTTTCCGTTCTGCCTTTTTTTATTGCCTGTAAAATATATGGTCGATTTCTAATTTTGTACCTACTTAGGAGTTTTGCTGCTTTTAATTGCCTGAAAACATTATAAAGTGAGTAATAATACTGTTTGTACTATTTATTATATTTATATTACTTGTGTAGTTACTTCTTGAGCCCTTCCAAATGAGCCCAAACACGATGGTGTTTCGAAGTGGCATAACTGAGATCTTTCACCCCACCTTCTTTGTTCACCATCATGAAGTTAATATAATCACATTAAACTAGGTCTTTATGAACCCTTTCAAATGAGTTCAAACACGATCGTTCTATCTAGTGCCGTCACTGAGATCCTATACCCACCTTCACATTGCACCATCAGAAAGGTGAGGTCATAACAGCCACCTGGGTCTTTATGAGCCCTTTCAAATGAGTTCAAACACGATCCTTCTATCTAGTGCCGTTACTGAGATCCTATACCCACCTTCGGATTGCACCATCAGAAAGGTGAGATCATAACAGTCACCTAGGTCTTTATGAGCCCATTCAAATGAGTTCAAATACGATCCTTCTATCTAGTGCCGTCACTGAGATCCTATACCCACCTTCGGATTGCACCATCAGAAAGGGGATATCATAACAGTCACCTAAGTTTTATGAGCCCTTTCAAATGAGTTCATACACGACCGTTCTATCTAGTACCGCCACTGAGATCCTATACCCACCTTCGGATTGCATCATCAGAAAGGTGAGGTCATAACAGTCACCTAGGTCTTTATGAGCCCTTTCAAATGAGTTCAAACACGATCGTTCTATCTAGTGCCGCCACTGAGATCCTATACCTACCTTCGCATTGCACCATCAGAAAGGTGAGGTCATAACAGTCACCTGGGGCTTTATGAGCCCTTTCAAATGAGTTCAAACACGATCGTTCTATCTAGTGCCGCCACTGAGATCCTATATCCACCTTCGGATTACACCATCAGAAAGGTGAAGTCATAACAGTCATCTTGATCTTTATGAGCCCTTTTAAATGAGTTCAAACACGACCGTTCTATCTAGTGCCGCCACTGAGACCCTATACCCACCTTCGGATTGCACCATCAAAAAGGTGAGGTCTAACAGTCACCTAGGTCTTTATGAGCCCATTCAAATGAGTTCAAACGCGGTCTTTCTATCTAGTGTCGTTACTGAGATCCTATACCCACCTTCGGATAGCACCAACATAAAGGTGATATCATCACAGTCATCTAGGTCTCCATTTACCTAATTGAAAATGAGTCCACGTAGTAGCATCACTGAGATCCTTTACCCACCTTCTGAGTCCACTATAAGGAAGGTGACATCATTACCATCACCTTGGTCTCCATCCTCTGTCAAAGCAACTTCTCTAAATATATATGACGGCTCGGTGGCGCAGTGGCTTAGCAATGAATTGCGGCGCGGGTTCGAATCCCGCACGGAACAAGTATTTGTATGGCCTACAAATGATTGTTCCGGGTCTGGATGTTTGTCCTTGTGCAATTTGTGTTTGTAAACTGCCTCCACGATATAGGAGAAAATCCTAGTGTGGGGGTAACGTTTTTTTTGAATGAAAAAAATATATAAAATAATATAAAATCATAAAGAATGTTATAAAAAATTATAAAATATATATAAAAGCTACTAAGAAAGTAGTAAGAAAGTATGTACTTACCAATAATGAAAACGAACTGAAGCCAGCGGATTACGGTGCGCCCGGAAAAATACGTGGATTGCCGTCAGTTAAAAATTTTAACTTAAGATTTCACATTCACGATCAGTTTTTGGATGTACTTCAGTTCAACGGAGCAGTTTAACTGACAGCACGCCCGAATAAAATCCGTGTGTTGCCTTCAGTTAAAAATTTCAACTTAAGATTTCACATTCACGGTCAGTTTTTGGATGTACGTCAGTTAAACTGAACAGTTTAACTGACCGTGAGTGGGGACCATTAGTCCTTCAGTTTGGTATAGAATAGAATAATTTTTATTCAATATTACATAATTTATTTATTTAATCTGTCATGCAAAAAGTTGTACATATGGCGAACTTAATGCCATAGGACATTCTCTCCGAGTCAACCATTATGCTAAACAGATATACAAACAAGAGGCGGTGCAGCAGTAATCAAAATAGAAAGCGCTAAAAAAATTGTATATACATATACACACACATACATAGACATATATACTTAAATGCACACAATATATACATATATAAATACATACATACACATATACATGCATACACTACATATATACATTATCTATGTCAGAACAAATATGAAATATACATATGTGTATGAAAATAAGAGCTGTGTTAGTTTAAACTTGCAACAATTTTTTCACATGCTTACGGACTTGATTTTTAAAAACAAACTTGTTGGAAGCTTTTTTAATGTCAAGAGGGATGTCGTTCCAGAGTCTGATGGCCGTGAGGGCGAAAGAATCAAATAAATAACCAGTACGGTGTAAAGGAGTAAGCAACTTAGGATTAGCCGAAGAACGGAGAGAACGATTATGAGAATCTCCCAGGTATTGAAATTTGGATTTCAGATGTACTCGGGAGCACATGGATCGTTCAAAATTGTGAAAAGGGTGCAGAGTATTCTGACATATCTGCGCTGGCGGAATAATACTTATTGAAAGAATTTTTTTTATTTACCACTGGTTTGGAAAATACCTCTGTCCTGGGAAGAACCAGTAAGAAACCCAGCGGGACTTTATTTAAACATAATATGTCACTTTACAATAATTTTGTTAGTACAAATTTTAAATGAGTTTAAATAGAACCAGCATGGTGGCGTTCACCTCATTCCCAGAGGTCTTTTTCGTTTATGTAGTCTTTCATATTTTAATAACTCTTTTTGTACAATTTTTTTTAACAAAACATTTAGTTAGGCCTGCCTTGTAGCATAGAACCTCAACCTTATTTTGTACTTTACTTTAAGTCGAGCGTTTATTTTGTGAGCTAGTTAGTATGTGTGGTGCCTTAACATCTAGTATTATGTATCTAAAATACTTACGCTTCGCAGTAGGGCAGCTTCCCGTAGCCCTTGTAGGTGCGCATGTTGAGCGTCATACCGCACTCCTGACATTTGAAGCAACCTTTGTGCCACACCTGATAACAAGCGAAGAAACATTCTATTAGAATTTACAAATATGTATTGAGGAGTTAGATGTCGGTTTCTGTGGTATATTATACACTTTCTATCAAGTGAACTGTGTGCTCGTATTAGTAAGCATCTAGAATCAATAGTCTAGATCGGAGGACCAAAGGTAAATCCAATAATATTAAAACCAAAATAGAAATGGGAGATTTTACGCTACTGGGTGGCATTTTTTTTTAAATTTTATTACAATAAACCATATATTTTTATTTAATATGTATATTAATATGTTGTCATCCAAACCAGGAAACCAAACCCACTACTTTGTTCTTATTCATCATAAGCCTGTAAAAATTTCACCTGGACATGGGCCCTTCCCACTGTACAGAAGCAGGCAGATTAACAATCGCAGCATCAGACGTTTCGCAAATTTGACGTTGCTGCCCGTCGCCGGTCTGGGTATTTTACGTCTGACGTAAACGAGGTCGTTACAGCGCCATCTATCGGAAGCCATAAGATCTTTTTTGCATTTTCGAAAGTCGACTTTTACGACACTAAGGCCATACGGTATTCCGTTTCAGGATTCCGTTTCGGAAATCCGATTTCGGGATTTCGAACGCAGCAAGTCCATATAAAATCTATGATCCGTCACGCCGGTAGCTTTCCGTTCGAAATTTTGCGGGCAAATCGGGATTCCGTATGTGTGTGGCCGACCTGTTCGGAATTCTGAAACGGAATTCCGTACGTGTGTGGTCGGCCTTAAGGGACTACCAAACGGGGTGATGTATTCTCTTACGTGGCGTGTAGTGGAGGTGTAAGAATATCCACTACCCCATTTTGTCTTGTGGGTGTCATAAGAGCCGTGATAACAACTCGAAATAATAAAAAAACACTGCAGTTGACAACCCGCTCGCCAGGCGTGTCAACTATGGCAAAATCCCCATATGAGGTAATCTATGGGGGAGACCTATATATTTTTTTTTATAGGATAAGGGTGACAAACGACCAAACAGTCCACCTGATGGTAAGTGGTTGCTGCGGCCCATAGACATCTACATCTATCCTCTGTTACAAATCAAAATGTAGATGCGTTGTCACCCGTGAGGACTAAGATGGAATGCCTCCTTTCCAGTAAAAAGGGCCTCCGGCCACCTGCACACACCAAGCGAAACGCAGAGGTAAACCTCTACTTGACGCTGGTTTTCTGTGAGGTCGTGGTACTACCCCTACACACACACACACACACACGCACGCACGCACGCACGCGCGAAATCTCACACGCGCACGCATACACACGCACGCACACACACACACACACACACACACACACACACACACACACACACACACACATACACACACACACACACACACTTTCACTTCACTACACTACGCACTACACAAAATCGCGTACTTTATTTTGCCTAAATAAACCGATTTACCTTTTGCGTGGTAGAGCCAAGCTGCGGCTATATTAGTAGTATAGTTGTAGCACGAATGGGTCGGCTCGACCGGGGAAGGACCACACTCTCACAGAAAACCAGCGTAAAATAGCAGCTTAACGCTGCTGTGTTTCGTATGGTGAGTGTAGAGAACCGGAGACCCTTTTTACTGGCAAAGAGGCATTCCATCTTAGTCCTCACGGGTGACAACGCATCTGCATTTTAATTCGCAAACGAAGATAGATGCAGATGTCTATGGGTCACAGTAACCATCAGGTGGACTGTGTGGTCGTTTGTCACCCTATACTATAAAAAAAAAAGATTACTCAACGGCATAATTTAACCGAAATAAAACACTTTAAATACCTAAATGAATAAGCAGATGGTTTCATCACATTGACCTGAATGAAACGACCCAATGACTGGCCACCATTGCTGAGGTAATGATTTTCTCAAATAACCAACTGTTTCACTTGCCAACCGAGAACAATACGACAGTTACGACAACAATACACTCGACATTCCCCAAAGATTAGCACATCCATTGCATTTTGAGTAGATTTATTGGATGGAACAAAATGATCAATTTTACATTATAATATATTAATATAACAAAGAAAAAAACATTTTTATTTTTGAAGATACAAAACAGATCGGACATAGTCACACAAAGGACACATACACTCACGCCTGTCACCTAGAGGGGTAGGCAGAGAGTACGGACTTCCATTTAGCGCGATCCTGACACACCTTTCTCGCCTCCTTTACATCCATATATCTTACGTATACACGCTCGTCGGGTAAGGGTACTTAATCACATGTATATTTTATAATAAACTATCACAACAAATATGCATCCGAATTAGCTTTATGGAACAGTGGGATAGCCACTGAGCTAAGATTCATGATAAAACTTATGAGTTCGGCTCTAGGTAGTGACTTGCGCTCTGCAGCTTGCCTGTCTCGCGTGACTACAATGAACAAATCTTTTAAGTTACAATTTGCACTATCTTGCTTATATTCAATAGATAATTAAGAAAAGGCTTATAAAGAAACCAGGAGCTGTTTCATTTTTAAATTAAGCTTTTACTAATAATGAAAATAGAGACATTCGAACAATATTAAACTAAACCACTCATCTCATTTCTGCAGCGCGATTAAATTTACATTTGAATTATGGTTGGCTTTGTTTTAACGTATGACGTTTTGTTTCATTGTATTTTGTGCTCTCGGTAGAGAATATCATTTTTGATATTGTTTATATCAAACGATTATAAGCCGACATCTTTTTAAAGTTCAGTACATTGAAAGAAAAAATCTACTACTTACATCGTTATCCGTACTAGACATGGAACGAGTAGTGATTCGCCGATTACTCGGCCACCGGGTACTCGGCCTAGATTGGGCCGAGTACTCGGCTTTAAAAAAACGTGGTAGCGGACGGCGTGTGGTTATTTCCCTTACACAGAGTTAGAGATGGAACGATACGAGTAAATACAAGTAATTACTCGATACTTTTCTTTCTATACCAAGTACTTTGGGTATCGATACTTTAAAACTTAGTACCAAGTAGTATCGAAAAAAAAAGTACTAGTATCGTTACTCGATCAGTCACACACCCACGGATACTGTTGATGAGTAATTACTGATTACTTGTCAAATGAGACAACATGAGTTCATGTTCGAGAGATAGTTGTCGTTATCTGGCGCGAAAATGAATTAAAATCGTTTTATCGGAAAACATCTAGAAAAATTATTGATCTTCCTCTCTTAAATTTCAAATATTAGTAATAATAATTTCTATTATAGATTCATATGTACGTTCTAAATATTTCTGCTGCTTCTCATGTTCCTGATGTTTTAATGTGTCTAATATAATAATAATGATAAAAACTGGATTTTTGTCTTTATTTTTCTCTGGAATATAATTAAGGCCGAGTACTCGGTACTCGGCCGTTAATACTCGGTACTCGGCCGAACCCTAAAAAAGCCGAATCCGCCGAGTACCGAATCCAAACCGAGTACTCGTCCCATGTCTAATCCGTACCTATGGCAAAAAATATATATCCTACGGTAGATAAATGATTATTATCTTAGTTAATTTACGGTATCTGTGTATCGGGTCGAGACATGATTCTCGGAATGGTTGAACTATATTCATAAAAGTTTATTTAGAAACCTCAAGGCGCGAGTAATACTCACTCAAAATTTCATATAGAAGCCATTGCAATAAGTTATATTGCAGTTGCTTAGTGATTCCTACCGGAAAACGATTCGCACTATCACAATCTTATCTTTGTTTTGAATTCTTAATTGCATCATCTCGAAAATTTCTTACATTACGTAAGATAATTTTATAATCATAAGCGCAAAGAGGCCATTAAATCTTGTCTTAGTTTCCTCCATGACGAACGCGAATATGGGAACTGATAAGAAAGTAGATAAAAAAAATTAAAATAAATCCATGATACGAAACATGTTATCAAGGGCAAGGGTATAATATAAATCCGTTAAAAGGTTTACTTAAACCGAACAAAACAGCAGTAAGTACTTTATATTAGTTGTACAATAATGTTTTACTATAAAATCTAAACAGCCAAGTATACGAATAATGAATGTTAAGTAAGAATTTCGGCCACAATCCGCACATTCGCTTCGGATAGCGAAATGTGTGACCGCATTCCTCACGACCTTGTCTTATTGATTACATAATATCGTCGATTTGGTAATACGTGAACAGCATGATGTCAACATTTTTTTTCACTACTTGAATGCCAGTTATATTACAATGGAGATTTTTTTCAACTGGTTTGAAACGCAATAAAAGTAGCTGCATTAGCAGAATCACTACTTGAAAAATAAACATTGTAATCAATACTCTAATCGTAATCATTTATAGTTGCATTGCCATGTTTAGAAAAACTTACTTACTGCGACTTCTGCTTTCCTGCCGACTTCCAAAAAGGAGACGGTACTCAATTCGAGTGTATGTTTTTTTTTATGTGTGTTACCTCATAACTTTGTACTGGGTGAACCGATTTCGATGATTCTTTTTTTATATGAAAGCTGATAGTTCTCGTGTGGTTCCATATGAATTTGATCAAGATCAGACCAATAGTTTTTGAGTTATTCTTAAATAACGTATATTGAAGTCGGCTGTACAAAATGTTTAATTTTAAATTATCACGTCCAACCTTCTAGATGCCTGTAAGAGTTATCGCTTCTGTTCATTAACCTTCAAATAATCAAAATCTCCATTCTGATACTTACTCCCTCTCAAATAAAATATACTTTGAAGGTATTAAGTTACCATATAAATAAATATTTATTTCCTTTACATGTTTTTCTTTGCATTTTTTTTTTGTAGTATGGACTTGCCCAACGCCCACGCATTCCTGGCTTGGTTGATACAGTTCCGAGTGAAGAATTTTCCTAAGTTTATTTCTCTCTATATATCAATTTATTTTATCCATGATGGATGCAGGTGGCTCCGTGCTTTGTGGCTATCCTTAGGGGAGGCCTATGTGCAGCAGTGGACATGTGAAGGCCTGTAATGAATTAATTTATTCAGGGGCTGTATTCCCCACGACTTTGATCATCATTGAAAATCAGCGTTGTGGTTTCAAAACAACACATGGCTGATTGATGTCCTTTTTTGACATGGCTTTGACGTGCAAAGTCAAATATATAAAATGTACATATTTAAGTTATAACTTTTATATTGTTGTGTGCGTCAGTGATCTATGTCAGAATAAAGTTTCTTTCTTTCTTGTTTTATTTCGGAAAATTTTCTTTTTTTTTACATGCTACGTAAAATTAATTTTATATTAAACTTACTCGTACATCAAGTACATGTCAAGTATAGCGCATAGTCTGAGGCATTTTAGGCACTGTTTTCAATACATTACGCACTAAAAATGTTGGCTCTTCTAAAGAAATTATCATAATATCTATAAGAAGTTACCACCTAACCACAAAATGGTTTTTATCTTATACATCGGATATCCGTGTCAATGTAAGTAAAGCGCATAGTCAGACGCATTTTACACGTTGTTTTGATGATATTACGCACTAAAAAATTGGGGTATTCTATACTTGCATTTACAGTGAGGTTATTTAAAGCTATCTTTATTAAACACATTGTAGATATTTTATATTTTTAGATACTCTACATAAAAACGTTATGTCCAATAAAACTGGAAATGAGAACAAACATTGTTGATAAATTATTCATTTCTTGGAATTTGACATTTAACGCGCAAATCAAATTTATTTATTAGATAATAAAACTAACTCATTGCAAATTTAGGGTAAAGGTTGGCTAAATGGTGAAATATAGCAATATGGTGATAATTTTGCTTTCAACGGTCTTTATAATGCCCAGCGCGAGTTTTGCGTTCATTCAATGAACTGAAGGCGAGTATGTTCATCTCTCTTTCATTTGGCCGCTGGTCGCTGTCCTCACCGGACGCGGTTTATTTGTTTCGCGCCAAAATATGCGAAAAAATGGAGGATAATCGATACGTAAATATCACCAAATTACCAAAAACATTACATAGCTTATTTTTATTTTATTTCAAGCTTAATTTGAATGGGGTTTTCAGGGTAGATGAAGCTCGAATTGATGTATCTTTCTGTTAAAAAAAATATCGGGTTGTGTTTCATTAGTCCGGGTTATAGTCTTACGTATTGGATGATTTTTCTTACAGGAACAAGTCCGGAAAGGCAAATAAAAGGAAAATGAAGGGCGAGAAACGCAGAAATTACGACTCTTCACGCTTCAAGGAGGCTTATATGAAAGTTATAAAGGATAATTGGTCAGTGTACAAGGCGTCGAAGGAATATGGCATACCGTGGTCTACTTTGAGAAGACACATAGCTACTCATGGAGGTGAAAGTTTCGACTTACCTAAACTTGGGAGACCATTCACATTAGACAGCGACCTTGAATGTAAGTTTGTTTCCTACATAATTAAAATGCAAGAACTAGGATTTGGTCTCAGCGTCACAGACATCAAAGCTAAATGTTACGCTTTAGCAGTCCAAGCAGGAAAAGATCACCAGTTTAACGATGCTAAACGTAAAGCTGGGCCTTATTAGTGGTGGTCGTTTAAAGAACGGTACGGGCTTTCATTGCGCACGCCAGAAAAGCTTGCAGCATGCCGAGCTGTTACTGCTAACAGACAAAACATTGACGATTTTTATAAAAAGCTACTGGACGTCGTTATTGAGCTGGATATTCTGCAAAAGCCTGAAAGGATTTATAACTGCGACGAAACCGGTGTAACGTTCGTCGTAAAACCGTCAAAAATTGTCACTCAAACTGGAAAGAAAGTAATTTACAGTACAACTTTTGCAGAGAAAGGTGTCACACAAACGGTGCTTGGGTGCTGTAGTGCGAGCGGAGCGTCTGTACCCCCCTTGATCATTTTTAAAGGTGTCCGAATGGTCAATGATCTAGCGAATGGTGCTCCGGAAGGGTCTATCGTGAGATTATCCAAAAACGGATGGATTAACTCTGAACTATTTCTGGAGTGGATGCATCATTTTGAATCTCATATTCCACCAGCTAGACCGGTACTTTTAATCATGGATTCTCACTCTACCCATGTCAGCCAAGATGTTATAGATTTCGCTACAAAAAATGGCATTCATCTATTCACTTTTCCAAGTCACACAAGCCATCTCCTGCAACCTCTGGACGTTTCTGTTTACAAGTCACTGAAAAATGCATGGGCTAAAGTGCTAAATGATTATAAGCTTCAACATCCAACGAGTGCTCCAACAAGGCTTGACTTTTGTCGCCTATTAACACCAGCCTACGAGCATGCATTTCAGCCGTCAATAATTATGAACGGCTTTCGAAAAACTGGCATTGCGCCATTTGATCCAAATGCCATTTCTGCTGAAAGTATTGCCCCATCATTGATGCAGCCAAGTGACCTACAGTCACAGAATATTGAATCTTCCACTGATAATGCCCAAGCTTCTGCTGTCAATGGTGAAACTGCGTCACCTTCAGTTTTCTCTTTACTTTCCGTTCCTGAGGTACCACAGTCTTCTTCTTCTAGTACCCGACGAGCTAAGCGGAATCCACAGGCCCGATATTTAACACCTCAAAGCACGAACAACATGGACAGTCCTGAAGAAAACATCGTCGCCATATCAAACGAAACCACAGTCGCCGTTACCAGTGAGGAGACCGTAACGGTCTCCTCGATTCGTGTCCCCTCTGCTTCTCCAACTCCTGGACCTTCTACTGAAAGCAACCTGAAGCGTAAACTACCAAGAGTCAAGGTAGAGAAAACACCAAAATCAAATAAAAGTACGATGTGTGACTATTGCGGTGTTCACTACTCCCAAGATGTGGCACTTAGGAACGGAGCTGTATGGGTAGAGTGCATGAGCTGCGGCAAATGGTACCACCAAGAATGTACTGGCACAGAGTCGCCACAGTTTCTGTGTGATAATTGTGATAAAATAGACTTTTCAGGCACTGATGACAGTGATTGGGCACCTGAATAGACTTGTCACCATATTGCCACATATGGTATCACCAAATTGCCCCCGTATCTCCATATTGCCAACACCAAAAAGATTTGTTTGATCTGATTTTCCTATTAATGTTTAAGAATTTAAGTTGCTGTGATTAATAATTATTGAAAAGAAAAGTCTGATTATTGTAATAAGTAAAGAGGTTTTCTAATAAATGTTAATTTTGAAATAAAATTTTAAGTTTTTTTCTTATTATCACCATAAAGCCAACCTTTACCCTATAAATCGGTATCTACATAAGTCCATCATCATCATCTAGGGTTTTACAGCCGCGGAAGGATCTTAGGTTAGACAAGAATAAAGTTCATTAAAATCGTTTAGTAGGATTTTATTGTGTACTTATTGCGTTTGGAAATATGCAAAGCCACGCCCATCACTACACAAACGTTTGTTTGTCAGTGAGTCAGTGATCACGAATAACGCATTCATGCTAGTTTCCTGCTACAAGTAATTATTCGTCTACACTCCAGCTTGTTGATGGAAGCACACACAGTTTCTAAACTATTTTGAGGAAGATTAATAACATATTCTAACTTGAATGCTGTTCATGTATGACTAAGTTAAATTCGAATGAACCTCATTATCACAGTTACTGTTGTGACACCAACATGGCGTTTATATTTCGGATATTCAGTACGAACACTCGCCAAGTATAAAATGTGGACGATGTCTATATTACGAACAAATATATTATTTATTTTAGATTTAGATAAAATTCGCTAATCCGTATATATATTCGTATTCGCTAATCCGCAAATATGAGGCAATCTATGGGGGAGGCCTATGTTCAGCAGTGACCTTGTGTTGATGATAATGAGGATGAATGGAATTCGGTAGTAGCTGTCGCCGCTTACAACACTCATTTGCGTTGCCAAGTATGGCAAGTATGGCAAAATGACCTCTATAATGTAATCTTTGGGAGAGGCCTATGTTAAACAATTGACTTATATAAGCCGTAATGGATGAATGGATTGATCATAACAACATACTTAAAGTTCAGTGCTGAACGCATACGACCCTGAAAATCTCCATCTGCACATGCTATGTGTTGAAAGAGTTTAAAGAGATCGGTCATTGCCAGTTCTTTGCTGGTAAGTGGAGTGGATGCTGTGGCTCATAGACATCTACATCTATCCTCGGTTAAGAATCAAAATGCAGATGTGTTGTCACCTCTGAAGACTAAGATGTCATGCCCCGTATGCAGTAAAAAGGGCATCCGGCTCTCTACACTCACCATACGAAACACAGCAGCATTGACTGGTATTCTGCGAGAGCGTAGTCCTTTCCCGGTTGTGTCGATCCATTCGTGCTACAACTATAATATAGCGGCAGCATGGCTCTACTACTTAAAATAAGATGAAACTCGTTAATCTTTCTTTCCGATCGGTGGCCGATTGGACAAACTATAGAAGATGTCCATTATCAAGATAACTTATGTATGATTGATAAGGTTTTAGTTCTAAACTTTAAATCAAAACTGACTCGTTGTTAACATTATAAAACATTCTTACACAGAGATTTTCCCAACATTTTAAATGCGAAAAAAAACCATTGAATATAAAAATGTACCGTTGGGTTTCTTGCTGGTTCTTCCCATGACATCCTTCGCATTCTTTTCCAGTGGTAAATTAAACATAAGAGTGACTTTCAATAAGTATTATTTATAAACTATAACGAATAAAATAGTATCTATTTCTAAAAAAAAAATATTAATAAATAATACGCTTTTAGAATTGTCAGTTCAAGTGATACAGTGTTAATGAATTTTAATTTGACCTACTAAGCCGGTTGCTACTAGTGCCCGCTAACGCTCGTACAATCAAACCTGACCTATCATAACCTCGATTGCACACAAGTAATGTCATGAAATATATATGCGTTGTAGTCGCTTGTGGATGATCACACTAGATGGAGTGACGATCTCGTAAGACATGCAGGAAGTCGATGGTTGCAGGTAGCTCAAGACCGTGCATTATGGCGTTCATTGGGAGATGGCCTTTTTAGCAGAGGACTTATGAAAAGCTGTAATGTTAATGAATTAGTTTGTTTGATACTTAAAAAAAAAATGGTTTATTGGAGTTGACATACTTTAGGATGACTCTAGATCAATGTCGACCAATCGTTATGTCGTTATTTTTGAAAATTGTTTATTCCCATGTTGGTATTTGAGTCTCATGGTGAGACTTATAACAAAAAATAGCTAACCTCCGTTGAGACTGGCCGCCGTGACCAAAATATGGTCTGTAGAATATTATTATAACAAAAATATGTCAAATATGTCAATTGCCTAGCATGTCATGAAAGACGATGACTAATGGTATTTGGGGTTTGTGATTGTGTAGGCGATTGGCTAGCCACTAATAAATCTTTTACAATTTTCCATCTATACCCATATTTCTTTGGCTAGATGTGGTCCAAGAGGCTCGCTACTCCTTGACTCTGTCTACTCCTTGGACACAGAATTTTCGAAACTTATTACGGCCTAACATATATATTTTAGTGGTACAGGTGTAAACTATCAGCGATAATTTAAAATAAAAAATTTTGTACAACCTATTTCGACATAAATTATTAAGAATAACTCAAAAGCTATTGGTCAGACCTTGATGAAATTTATATGGGACCACATGAGAAGCACCAGCTTTAAAATAAAAAAGAATCATCGAAATCGGTTCCCTAGAAAAAGTTATGATAACACACATAATAAAAAAGAACATACAGACGCATTGAGTACCATCTCCTTTTTGAAGTCAATAGAAAAGTATCGGAAGTGAGCCTATGTGGAGTGTTAGTAACTATAGAGGTAAAAAACAATTACAACTCATCCAGATCCAAAACTCATCAATTTTAAAATTCCAGAATTCGAATCTAGAATTCTAATCGCTAAATCCGCATGTCTTCGTGATTATAATCCGAAAATTAAATAGACAACTTCCAAACATTGTTTTTTGTATAGAATGGCGGTGACAAACGACTGCTGTTGCCCATAGACATCTACATTTATCTCGATTAAGAATCAAATTCAGATACGTTGTCACCCTGAGAACTAAGATGGAATGCCTCGTTTCCAGTAAAAAGAGCCACCAGTTCTCTACACTCAATACGAAATTCTATACGAAAGACAACTGCATTTTACGCTGGTATTCCGTGAGTGCGTGGTCCCATCCCGGTCGAGCTGACCAATTTGTGCTACAACCATAACATAGCTGCTGCGTAGCTCTACCACGTACAATTACGTTATAGCAGTAATAATCCCACGCTGCAACATGTAGGTCACGCGTCACAACATCTGCAAAAATGCACGTTCAAAGATCAAACGTTCAATGCAACAACTGAACACAGAATTAAATTGTAAATAAATTTCAATAGGGAAAATACGACACAATATATAATTGTCCTCGTATTTTGTAATAAATAACTTAAAACCCGTAAAACCCACCGACCAGATCATCTTTACCATACTTTTATGGTTTTTATTGCGGGTTGGAACTTGGAACCGGCGAATCAGTAGTCAGCTCACGTCAGCGTCACCAGATGGTTCAATCATAGCAGCACTTTTTTTTAAACGTGATTTTCTCCTGTATCGTGGAGAAAATGCACAGGGACAAACATCCAGACACAGAACAATTACTTGTAGGCCGTACAAATACTTGTTCCGTGCGGGATACGAACCCGCAAGCCCGCAACCCTTAGCGCCTTAACTCATTGCTAAGGTACTGCGCCACGGAGATGTCAAAACTATTTAAATAGTGAAAGTCGGAGTAGGACGTACATATATAGAGCGTTACTTTTCTCTTCGTTACTTTGTTTTGTTGTAATTTTAGTGTTAAAAGCAACATGTTTGGCAACGCATACACTATAATTATGCCAGTATAACCTAGGTTCATTTTAGTTGCGGCGATTTGTAATAAATGACACTCTCGTTTACGTTTTAGCCTTGGTCGACATAACAAGGAAAAGCGATAACATGTGAGGAAAACATGCGTTTCTTTTAATAATAAGTATATTATATTATTATTAAAAATTATTAATTTACTTGAATTTCTTATAGCTTTTGTTCAATATCAACAAAATATTTATATTTTACTAGGTTGATCAATGAGTTTTAGGAATAGGACACTTATCAATGAGGTATAAAAATACGTTCTATTTTTTTTTTCGAATGTTAAATTTGTTAGATAGCCAAGGCCAGAAAAAACCAAATTAAAAAGTAAATCCTTTTTTTTTCAAACTGCATTTGGCGGGAATTTTATTCGTACGCAAAATGGAGAAACTAGAACTTATTGATCAAGATCAACCTAGTACATTCTTAGTTAACTGTTCAGTGCCAAAATTAGCAAGACGGAACACATCGGTGTCCGTCAATCTCATATATCATCTAACCAGAACTATTCATCCATTTGTCATATAATGCACATAATGAGCTTCTCTTAAAGATTTTAAGTAATCTTTGAAATTTAGCAAAATATACAAAGTGGAATTTCGATTTTGAGTGTTATTTTCAGGCGGTAAATTGAGATATATGGTATGGTAGAATTAATTAAGGTTATTGTGTAGGAAGTCGAATATAAGCATATATATACATAGAAGCACAAAATCAAACAATCCATATTATGTTACATTTTCAATTGCGCATGTCGATCGCGAAGCGGAGAGTCCGGGCGTTGACTTGAGAAGGTAGCTAACCACTCATTTAATCTGTCTGGTTTATATATTTTCTTTCACACTTTTTAGAAAAAAGAAATCTAAATTTTCTTTCATATTTTTTTCTCTCTCTCAAAAAGTCTCTAAAACATACAAGTGAATAAGTCTGCCACATTACTTAGGTTTGCGGGCATCATATGTGTATGCATATTGTATGTCCTCGTAATATTTTATTATTCCGACAAGCAGATTTCGAATGGAAGTTTTACCGCCGAGTATAAGATTAAATCAGTACCGTAACAATTAAGCGGTGCTGGCGGCTCTGAGAAATATGGTAGCTCGCAATAACGTCATGAATGTAGACATAATCCCGCTACCAGCGCCACAGAGCAGATAACGTGGTATTCAAAGTGAACATTACTTCATTATCTAAACACGGGCATTACGGGGCTGAGAATTAAACCATATCTGCGGAGTTTGCTCAATTTATGTCGGCTGTAGATAAAATAAAAGCAAAACTAAACAGTAACGGTGCTGTACTGTTTAATCACATCAGACTAAGGCCTAACAAGAGTTTAATTATCACTGATATTTATGAAATGACCGAGATACGTACACGTATTTTGTAGGGAAGTCATCAATTTAATTATCACCTTATCACATTACAAGTCCATTGCATCAATCGACTCCCTGCTTGTTTCACTAGGTCACTAGTAACGGAGATCAAGCAAATAGACTGGCAACAGAGCGATCAACCTTTGATTTTAAACGTGGCCTATGAACATGGGAAATAGAAGATCGTGTCTAACCTTACTACACAGGCATTTGTAGGGTTACAGGAAGAAGCTGTAAGTTTGACGGTTTCCATTTAAAACCAGAAAAGCCTTATTTCAAAAAAGTTGTTTCGTTTACCTGTTACCTTACCCTTTAATAGGAAAATGTTTCGAAAATATCATCGTCATTATCATTCGAGATATCATCATATTAAAGCAAAATATATCAAAATTATTGAGGTAGACTTGCAACGAATATTCGGCTATTGTTCGGTATACGGCATGTTCCACTATTTTTATCCTATTCGGTCTAATACTGAATATCCAGGTACGATTCGGCCGAATACTGTTTTGCTGTAATCACTTTTTTGGCGGTAGGTGTAAATAATGTGCACATTGCTCTAAAGGAGGAATGTGAAATTAAAGGTCTCCGTTTGAATGCTAATAAAACTAAGGTTCTGGTATTTGAAAGGGACGAAGAGAGAACGAAGTGTGAAATATGGGTAAATCAGGAATGTCTAGAACAGGTAAATGAAATTGTATACTTGGGGAGTGCTTTTAGCCGGGATGGAAGATGTGATTTAGATGTGGACAGGCGTGTCGCTGCCGGGAACAAAGTCAATGGTGCCCTGACTGCGTTAGTCAAAAGGCAAGGCGTAACGAAGAGTGCACGCCTTGCAATACATAACGCAGTGTTGGTACCGACTTTGTTATATGGCAGCGAAACCTGGGTTTGCCAGAAGAAGCATAAAAGTAAGTTGAATGCAGTGGAGATGCGATCTCTTCGTAAAATGTGCGGCGTTACCATGGCCGACCGAAAGCGAAACGAAGAGATTCGCAATATGGCAGGTTTGAAAGATGACCTTATCACAAAAATTGATAAGGGCGTGCTTCGGTGGTTTGGGCACGTTGAGCGAATGAGTGAAGACCGAATGGTGAAGAAAATATATAGCGCGAAAGTTAATATTAAAAGGTGTCGAGGTAGACCGAGACTAACTTTCGAAGACCATGTGAGCATATTGCTCGAAGAGGGTAGGGTCAAAAGTACTCGGATACTTAGACGTGCATGCATGAAGAAGATAATGAATCTGAAAGAAGCGAAAGAGGTTTGTAAGGATCGTGACACTTGGCGATCTGTTCTCTCTGGCTACCCCGTCAGGGATTGTGCGTGAAGATAAGAAGAAGAAAATTGCTCTAAATGATTAAATTAGTATATCAATATTAAGATGCGGCATCGGAGAAAATATTTGCTGCTAAATAGAGTTCCGGAATCATCTGATGAAAACATCTTAGATAAAATGGTAACTGTCCTGCAGGATAAGCTTCAACTACAGGAATTTTCTTCAAGCTCCATTGTGGCTTGCCATCATCTGGGTGCAGTATCGAAAGCTTGTGCAAGATCAGTCCTAATACGGTTTAGTTATCAGCCCGTTAAGTCAACCATTTGGGCCAAGAAGACACAGTTGAAAGGTACATATGTGCTTTCCTAGTTTCTTACTCGTCAGCGTCAAATTTTATTCATAGCTGCAAAAAAGCACTTTGGTATCAGACAAAGATTTTCCCTTTGATCTTTGGTAATATTTACTGGTATTATGTGGTAAGCGTCATCGGGTGACGGACACCAAGGACCTCGATGAGCTCATGACGCAGTATGAAAAGTCTGCTGCTTCGGATCGACAATCTGATTCTACGAGCAAGAACCTTATTGCCGTCTACTCCGTTGAACACGTTGTCAATTATAGACCATTCTTGCTACCGGATTTTCACGCCATGACCTGCTTTTCCTGTCATATCCCTTTCGAACCTGACCGATATGATTGTGCGTCTTACTTTTAAGAAAATATTAAAATACTAAAACGTCTATTTCACTGCACCAAACCGGGCTGCATGAATCCTGCGCTTAACAAACGACCGTTTTATACATTAGCCGTTACAGTTTTTGAAGTTTAGTCTCCTGTTTGGCCTTCGACGCGATGGCTGCGTTTCGTGATCCTGCTACTGGTTTTCGTAAGTACATTAGCATTGTATTACAGATTTTGTTTTTTTCTTTATAATTTATTAATTATAGTTAGATAAGTTTCTGATCTAATGTTTAAACATAATTTGCACGTTAGTAAATATTGTTTAAGGCGTTATTTTTCTTCGAAAATATTAGGTAGCACAATTGTGCTATGTGGGTTTTAATTATAGTAACGCATGTTTTTGCTTATGGGTAAGTAACCGCTTTATTTTATATTTTTAGGCGTTCTTTTGGACGATAACCAAATATTGGATCTACTGCAGGATGGAAATAATTCCGACCTAGATATTTCGGACTTGGAATGTGATGAAAACTGTCCAGAACAGCCATCATTACCAGCTCAGCAGTTTGAAGATCAAAATGTAGCGTCTCCGCCACAAGAACCATCCACATCAACGCGAACAGGTAGACAACGAACTTTACCTTTACGTAGGCGAATTTGGAAAAATGATTATTATATTGATAAATTCCATGATTATTCTGGGCATCCAGAACCTGCAAAAATCCGTTCTCCAAATGAGTATTTTCGTGATTATTTTGACGAATCATTTTTTGAAAATGCTGCTCTTTGCACCAACATGTATTACATGCGCCACACTGGACGGGTTCTTAATACCAGTAGCCAAGAAATAAAGAAACTGGTCGGCATGCATCTAATAATGGGCATGTTGTCATATCCAAGAATTGCAATGTACTGGCGTAAACATATACAAGTGGAAATGATAGCCACAGCTATGCCTAGGGACAGGTTTACAACTTTAAGAAACGCTTTACATGTTGTTCCATCTGATACTCCACCGGCTGGTCCAAGGAATCCACTTTGGAAAGTACAACCTGTAATTGACATTATAAAAGATGCATGTAACAAAATTGACAGATGTCCAGGAAGATTTTCCGTCGACGAGCAAATAATACCGTTTACAGGTAAATGTGAGCTTCGGCAGTTAGTAAAAAACAAACCACGACCTGTCGGCCTCAAAAATTTTGTTCTTACTACAAGTGATGGATTAATGCTAGATTTTGAGATATATTACGCAGCTAATCCCGCTTTCTCAGACAGATCTTTAGGACTTGGACCAGCTATCATTTTACGTTTAGCACAAGCGGTGCCGCCGACTAGTTGCCTGTATTTCGATCGGTATTTTTCAACGATACCCCTGTTGGAAACATTATCTAAACAGAACCTCCATGGTACGGGAACGATTATGCTTAATCGTATACCCGACCGTGTTCACATAAATTTTAAAGAGGACAGGAAAATGAAGCGAGGGGAAGTTGACCAACGGGTTCTTGATGACAGCATAGCATTAGTCAAGTGGAAAGACAGTAAATGTATTGTTATGGCATCCAACTGCACGGGTGGTAACTGTATCGATCTCGTCAAACGTTACGATAAAAATAGGCAGGCATACATTGACGTAGAAGCTCCAAGAGTTGTTACAAATTACAATAAATATATGGGCGGTGTCGATGTTTTGGACCAGTCCATGGAATATTACAGAACCTTTATGAAAACCAGAAAATGGACCTTGAAAGTGATTCTTCATTTTCTAGATCTAGCTGTAGTAAATTCCTGGAGATTGTACAAATGTCATTCTTTGGCAAAAGGTGTGCAAAATAATAAAATAATGGATCTCATGGCTTTTAGGTTTGAAATTGGTGAGTCATTGCTATGTGTACCGGCCAGAGATAGACGTGAGGCAACTCCACCCTCCCCTTCGGTTGAACAAGCTTCAGGTATTCGCAGATACCGACCAGGAACAAAGCCATCGGAGGGTAAGAGGTACGATGGATACGACCACCTACCAATCGTAGATGACATTACGTCTCCTCGTTGTTGTCGCTTAGAATCTTGTTCCTCGCGTACAAAAATCAGATGCAGAAAATGCAACATTTATTTGTGTTTAAGCCGAAGCAATGACTGTTTTTATTTATATCATACTAAGTAATGACAAACTTTATTTATAGTTCGATTGGAAACAAAAAATGTAACAAAGAGACTGATTAGTACTGATATTGTTGATTTTGCATGCCAAAGATATTATTAATGTATACTTCTAATATTGTGATCTCATTTTTATTGAAAAAATTAAAGTTTAATTGCGTAGTTTACTTTAAATGTTTATTTTATTTTATTAAACCTTGAACAAATTTACTGCAACAAAATTGTGCGTTAGTGCAAGATAAACCCAAGTCGCACAATCGTGTTATATATATATTTTAAATACATAATAATAATATAATTTTTTTAATATTTTTTAGTACTTTGTGTCACCCTCATAAACTCATTTTAACAAAAAAATTATATAAATATTAAAATAAAATTATCGGGTTCGAAAGGGTTATAAATTAAAGTCTCCCAAGCCTTTATCCGTGTCTATTCGAAGTCTTACCTTAGATATAGATAAACTAGATATAGATAAGCTTAAGTGTGATGCGCATGCTATTAACTAATCATCTGTATACACTGCTTCCACAGTTGATGAAAAAGTTGACTTCTTTAACAGCAACATATTAGGACTGTACAATGAACATGCCCCTAAGCGTGTCGTTCGAATTAAGCGTCCTTCTGTTCCATGGATCACGACTGGCGTAAGAATGGCTATGGCAAAACGTGACAGACTGCTTCGTGCTTTTAAGAAGAATAGCACTGATATAAAGTGACAAACATATAAAGCTGCTAGAAATCGATGCAATCAGATGCTGAGAGCTGCTAAACGCCGATATATCCACGTATATATACGAGCCTTCCTGGCCGAATATTATTGCATAATATTCGGTTATTCTGCCAGGAAGACCCCAGAATATCGGTACTCGGCGTGTGGCCGAATATACAATTCGTTGCAAGTCTACTTAGAAGTCAAATTATCAACTTCATTACATAAGTAATTTATTTAGAAAATAATAATAAAAATATTTGTAAGTAAAAATAATAAACTTAAGTTTATGCGCAGTCGTTGGTACTGGCCTCCGATCGACCTTACCGGCGCCATCTGCGGCTAAATTGGGTCAACACGGTGCAGTCCTGTCTCACTGCTTTCTAACTCACGGCACGGAACATAATATGAATTGTTGTTATTTATCGTTGTTTACACACAAGTAGTTGAGCGACCCAGATCTGCTCGGCGTTAGAAAAAAAAACAATTTTCTCAAGTATGACATCTTTCCAGATAAACTTGGAATGCAAACATATTCTACGTACAACATTTTAGACAATTAGTTAGAGCCTTTTTAGAGAAACTAATTACATTACGTATATATAATATACCTACATATATTTACATACATAATTTAAAATTAAAAATTTGGTACAGCCGAATTCAATATAAGTTATTAAGAATAACTCAAAAACTATTAGTCTGACGTTGATTAAATTCATATGAGACCACACGAGAAGTACTAGAAAAAAAGAATCCTCGAAATCGGTTCAGCCAGTAAAAAGTTATGAGGTAACACACATAAAAAAAAACATACAATCGAATTGAGTACCGTCTCTTTTTTGGAAGTCGGCAGAAAAGAATATCAACTACCCCATATTACCCCGTGGGTGTCGTAAGAGGCGACAGATTGAAACTTAAACAGGAGATGAGCGGCAGCATCTTCCTTAAAACAACCGAAAATAATAGCAAAAATGCAGTTGCCAACCCGCCTGCCAAACGTGGCAACTACGTCACAATCTTATGAGGCAATCTAAGGGGAAGGTATATTTTTAGCAGTGGTTGGATAGGCTGTATTGAATGAACGAATACATATATTCTGATGATGAATCAAGGGATACAGGAAGACGATGGATATAGGTGGCTCGGGACCGTGCTTTAAGGCATTCCTTACGGAAGGCCTATTTTTAGCAGTGGAATACTATGTACAAGAATTGCTCGTTTAAAGTATAGAATGTCCCTTTGGGTTTCAAAGGTACACCGCCTGTCAGCGTGATATGGGCAAATGTTCCCAGTAATGCTTGCTAGCACCTAAGAAAGACTTATGACCAGTCGACTGAAAACTACTACAGATGTATGATACTCATACACACGTTCAAGTTTACATAACGCAGCAAGCTTGATCAAGTCGGCAGAATCGAAATTCAATTTTTGCTGCAAGTAGACTCATCATGCACACCGATAGCCACACACCGTCCAGTTTACCAGACGCCGCTTCAAGCGCGCTGCAAACTTGACGGTAAACTAAATCGTGTATGGCATCCATAAACGAAATAAAGAAGATATTAAAAAGTCCACTATATACTTTTAACAAAAAGTATACAGTGGAACTACCCTCCAGAGAAGACTGAATGGACAGGTCATCTGTGAGGTCGATAGCCTTATATGATATACCGATGGGTCAAAAATGGGCTGCAACTTAGGCTTTGGAATTTATGGGGAGAAACCCAAATTCAAACAGTATGAATTTGGGTAGATTCACCTCTATTTTCCAGACAGAAATTTTCGACATACTCCAGTGTGCGGAAATCAATCTGCAAAAACACTACGCTAACCATATAATTTATATTAACTCTGATAGTCAAGCAGCACTGCTAGCGCTGAGATCAAACTTGGTGAACTCGAAGCTAGTTGGAGACTGCGTGAACCGCCTAAACGCCTTGGGAGGTAATAACAAGGTAGTTTAGTTCCGGGTCATGCGGGTATTGTACGCAATGAAACTGCCGACAAGCTCGCACGGGAGGGCTCCAACAGTTCACAATTTGGACCCGAGCCATTTTGTGGAATCTCAAAAAGCCTCGCCTGATTGACCCTGGAAACTCTTTAGCACAATAAATCACTTAAGATCTGGTCTGATATACCAGACTTAAACATTCTAAAACCTTAATCCGGGCTTTCGATCGTAAACTGGCTTCGGAAGCCCTGGGCTTAATAAATTGCGCATCCTGGTAAGAGCCCTGACTGGACACTGTTGTCTTAAAAAGCACATGTCCATCATGGGACTAAGCAAGTCAAGGATGTGCTGGTTTTGCTCCCTAGAGGAGGAAACGCCTTTACACATCCTGACAAAATGCGGACCCTTAATGCGCAAACGCAGAACTTATCTGGGAAACTATATACTTCGCCCAGAAGTGAAATTACTCACAGCTAAGCAACTCCTATTCATTAAGGACATAGCAGCGATCACAATAGACCTTTTAGGTCGCAGTGATACTGGTCTCTCTAGACCTGCACAGCTGCTCGTAAATAATAAAAAACAAGATATTAAAATAATGTGACATATTATTTGTCATATACACAATCTTCAGAGCACGACATAAAAGTGTGACCTTAATAAGAAATTAAAAGAATCTGGAACAACATTGAGTTACTATCAAACCAAATTGAATAATTATTAAATCAATAAATGCAAAGACGTTTGCGGTCCAAGATTATAGGATCAAAATATGTTCCGACAAACTCAGGACTTTCCTATCTATAAGATTAAATAACTCAAAAATATCCACAGTTGGGCAAAGGTTATTTTTTTTTTGAGCCTTGTGGGTCTAAAGGTCGTAATCGCGACTGCTGACCATGTGGTCACGGGTTGGAATCTCGGGTCGAATCGAAATTAGTTGAATGTTTCCCTACTAAACGCCTAAAAGCCTCGGAAAACACGTAAAGCCGTTAGTCCTGCCTGCACCTGATCTCTCCGGTTGTGTCGAGTTGCCGTTCCATCGGACTATGAGTGTGAAATATAGAGCCGCGTATCCACCAAAAATGTTGACAACATTTATGTTTCCAACTGTTTCCAATTCAACAAAAGTTACCAACATTTGTTTCCGATGTTGCCGACAACTGTTTCCAGCAAGCGTTTCCACCGAGGGAACAAATGTTTGCAACAAGCGTTTTCCTTTGATGTTGCCGCCGAAAATGGAAACCCGGTTCCCGACATTGTTTCAAGTTTTGTTGCCAACACTAGGTAAATATAGAAACATTTGTTACCAACACATGTTGGCAACACAACAGTTGGTAACAAAACTTTGGTGGAGCTTTAGATTTATGCTTACACATACACACGCGCACCATTACAATCCTGTCCTACGCGGATGGCTAGTCTCCGTTGAGACAAACCTCCGTGACCATAAATCGGTTTGGAGGACATAGATATATTTATTTGAGCGGCTAGGTCTGAAAGGTTGCCGAACGTTTTAAATTTATCCAATATGCGCGTTTCCTCACTATGCTTTCTTTAACTATCGAGCACGTAAGCATAGGACATGAACCTCTCTAGTTAAAAAAGAAGACTTAGAATTTACAAAAATAGAAGATTTTGGGGTAAATAAACCAAAATTATTGTACAAGTCTGAACTCATTGTTTCTAGGTCAAGCAATTTACTGCAGTGTGTTGGTGAGTCATAGACATTAGTGAGTTAATATGCTTAATTATTAGCGGTTATTATCGTTTGATAGATGATGTTTGCGTAACTTTGTGCTCAAAATATTCCATACATATACAATATAAAACATATATAAAATATATGACACAGATGTTAGATTTAGATAAGTATTTTTTTATGGAATAAGGGTGACAAACGAGCACACAGTTCACCTAATGGTAAGTGGTTGCTGTGGCCCATAGACATCTACATCTATCATCGTTTGCGAATTAAAATGCAGATGCGTTGTCCGCCGTGAGGACTAAGATGGAGTGCCTCTGTTCCAGTAAAAAGATTCATCGGTTCTCTATACTCACCATACGAAACACAGCAGCATTAAGCTCCTATTTTACGCTGGTATTCTGTGAGAGCGCGGTCCTTCCCCGGTCGAACCGACCCATTCGTGCTACAACTATACTATCAATGTAGCTGCAGCACTCTCTTTTACGATTTATTTTTATATTTTCATTTCTTTATAACTTTAAAATTTTCTTTTAAAATAGGTATTGTAAACATTTTTTTTTACAAAATTACAGAATAGACAAAGGAACGAACAGTCTATTCGCTCGTGACTCCAGAAGCTCATGGACACCT